CGGAAGCCGCGGGGGCCCCCTGGACCACCAGGGGGCCCTGTTTCCGCTACTTGGACCGCCACGGGGGGTGCTAAGAGGATAGGGGGATACAAGTGGATGCTAAGGTGGGTTCTGTACAGCCGAAGCCAGCTCAGAAGTGGGTTGCACGCGCCCTAAGTGGCTTAAGGGCGCACAGATCTGGACGAGTGGGCGGAGCCCACTTAGCGGAGTTACCTCATCATCCTCAGCCACATAGGGAGCCTGTCACCCACTTATATGTTGGGTTAGGCCAGATAAAAACGCTTTCGCATCCACTTCTAACCCCCCCATCCCCTTCGCAACCAACGCGGCGATCCAAGCAGAGGGGGGAGAGGGGGCCCTCTCCGGCGCTTCCTCCTCCTCTTCCGCGGCCGCCCTCTGCTTGTCCAATTCTTCTCGCGCTCGTGCCTGGCACGCCCTGCCGTTGGCGACCCCCGCGCCCGCGCTCGCTGGCGCCGCCGATCGGAAAAAGCGTGCCGGTCGATCTGGCGAGGTTGGGGGCAACAACGTGGTGCGCAGGATCGAGAGAGGGCAATCGGGGCGAGGGCGGGGAAGCGGGTGCCCGAGCAGGAGCATGGAGAAGGTATGGCAGCAACAGCAGCAGGAGGAGCATGGTTGGCAGCAGAGGCAGAATGGAGGACGGCATCAGCAGTCTGCCAGGATTTGGAATTTTCGTGCGTGGTTGCGCGGCGGCCACCCTGAAACTTTTGACGAATGATGCTGTGTATCTCAGTGCGCACTCGGTGCAGTGAAGTTTTTTCTGCGTGGGCGGGCAGCCCCACGAAACCGGGCGCTCTTTCCAGGGAGAACGGACTCGACGTCAGATTCTCCCGGCGTGAAACGAGGCGTTGCAAGAACCGTTGCAGCGTAGAGTCAAGACGTTGAAACAAAAGCCACCTTGGAGGGAGGAAGGGCTCTGATTGTCGGCCGCTCCTTAGACCTAGGCGAGGAAGCCTGGGCCTGAAAACCCCGCCCCCAAAAAAGCGCAGCCGAGGCCCGTCGTGGCCACAGAAGCCCGTTCGCTCCTTGCTTGGCTCCCTTGTGGCAGCACGGTTTTTCTGCAGCCTCTGTGAGCAGCGCCCTTTGCCAGGTGGGGGCCTTTGACCGACAGACCCTGAAGCTGTGGTTCGGCCAGCTGTGCAGCCTCAAGTGGAACAGGCGCGCCGGGCACGGAGTGCTCGCCCCCCGTAGGCGGCACCCTGGGCTGCCGTCGTGCTCACGACGGCCGCCGATACACTCCGAGCCCACCGCTCCAGCGATAGCGGTCGTGGCGATGCCACGGGTCCGCTCTGGTGTGCCGAGATCTCTGGTATCCCACGGACGTGTACGCTACTCTCGGCGAGGCCAGCACCAGAAATCTGGACCATCCTGGAGCATGTTGGATCACCTTGGGAACAAACACGCGTGAAGCCCGACAGTGCAAGAGGAAGGGATGCCCGAGCGGTGGCAAGAGTCTCCGACGGCTGTTCGTTCACGACGTCGACCCCCAGAGGTTTAGACCCCTCCCCCGGGACCAGTTTCTCCTACCGAGCCGTTCTCTGGCGTGCCGGGGCCCCGCGGCTCAGCGAGGGCCCCCGGAGGCCGAGAACGGCTAGAAAGAATCCGTCGTGATGTTTGCACCGCGAAACGGGCTGGGGGAGTGTGGGGAAGAGGGCGGTTCGTGCTCCTTGGGGGGGACCACGCGCGTCGCTGCTCAAGTCCAGCACGGGCCTCTCTGCGTGGGGGTCCGCCTGCCGCTGCACCGCTTCGTCGGGTGCGGTGGTTTCCCGCGAGAGGGGCAGAAAGGGGAGGGAGGAGAAGGAGGGAGGAGGAGCGAGGGGGGGAGGAGGAGGGAGAGAAGGAGAAGAAGAAGGCGATGAAGCGAGGGAGGGAGAAAGGAAGGAAGGAGGATGAGGAGGAGCAACAGCAGCGAGGAGCAAGGAAGGGGGAGGAAGGAGGAGAGAAGGGATGAGGAGGAGGAGGAGGAGGAGGAGGAGGAGGAGGAGCAGCAGCAGCAGCAGCAGCAGGAAGGGGGCGGGGCAGGAAGGAGTTGAGAAGGCAGGAACCGAGGAGGATGGAGGAGAGGAGCAGCAGTGGCAGCAGGGAGGAAGGGACGGGGAAGAGAGAGGAGAGGCAGGGGAGCCAAGCCAGGTGCGCTCGCGCCAGATTTGGGGCATCCTACCCCAGACCCCCTCGCGCTGTGAAAAAACGCGACGGGAGTTGTTCGCTATTGCGAAGGCCTTACGGCCAGTGCCGACGACCCTGAGAACGAGGACGATGAGAGCGAGGGGGGGCAGGGGGAGGAGGATGAGTGGGAGGTGGAGGAAGGGTGGGGGAGGTGGATGAGGGAGGAAGAGGGGGGAGAAGGATGTGGAGGAGAAGCAGGAGGAGGAGGCAAAGGAGAGCAGGAGGAGTGGGGAGCAGAGGGGGGGGGGGGGAAGAGGAGGAAGAAGAGGAGGAGGAGGAGGAGGAGGAGGCCAGAGGCCTTATTGGGACAGCCTGGGGCTCTCTTGAGGCCGTCTTTGGCCGTCCAGGGCTCCTCTTGCGCCGTCTCGATGCATTCTTGGAGGCCTCCTGAGCAATTTGGAGCTCTCCTGGGCTGTCTTGGGGCAATCTTGGGGGCCTCTTGGGCCGTCTTGGAGGCGTCTTGGGGCCCACTTCGGCCGTTAGGGGACCCTCGTGGAGGCCTCTTGGGCCCTTTCGGGGCGATCTTGGGGGCCTCTTGGGCCGTCTTGGCGCGTCGGGAAGCGGAAGAGGCAAGAACGCCAAAATCTGTTAAAAACTTATGGGGAAATCCATGAATTTTGCCTCTTGGGGCTCTCGTGGAAAAGCTCCTGGAGGCCTCTTGGGGCGCTTTGCAGGCCTCTTGGGCCGTCTGGAGGCCGTCAAGGCGTCTTGGACAGATCGTTCGGCGATTCGGGGTTCGCTTGGACTGTCTTTGGGGCCTCTTGAGGAACTCTTGGCCCGTCTTGGGGCTTTTTGGGGCTCCGGGACTCCCCGGAGGGTCGTCGTATCTGACCCCGCGCCCCTGGGAACCACCCCCCCCACCCCCGGCGGGGAAGGGATCAAAGGGAAGGGGCTTCCCATCGACTCAGTTACGACGTTGCTCAACTTCGCTTTGGTTGGCGCGCTGAGGAGGTCCCTGGAAAAGGGGGGAGCTTCGACGAGCCCAGGGAAAGGGGGAGGCAGGGAAAGAGGACGACAGAAATGACGGCCAACGAATGACGGAGATGACGACTTGAACGGACAAGCCCCTCACACACGCCGACAGGGTCGGCGGATTTTTTGGGGCCCTCGCTGGGCCCCAGGACCGTCAAGATGCCGTGGAGGCATCTAGACCTCTGGGGGTCGACATTGTGAACAAAATCACGACGTCGGGGGTCTGGGACCCCTCCCATCCATCCCTTCCCATTGCGCTGCTGTTATATATATGTATATATATATATATATATATATATATATATATATATATATTACAGCGCTCAACCCCCTGGAGGTTGCAAGCGAGGCATGACATCTATCACGAATAAAAGACGCCTTGCGACACCGCGAGCGAGACAAAGCATCACTCGCAGCGCTGGCCACCTCTGTTGCCAGGCACTGCCGCGAGCGACCCGCACCGCACCTCTGCGCAGTGCTTCGGCCACCAACGCCTGCATAAAATTGACCAAATTAGTTGCATAAACGGTGCGACATGAAGACACAATGGAATATCATATCGAAAACCATACAAATAAGCATAGCGAGGAGAACAGGGCGAGCCGAACCCTGATATTCCCTATTGCAGGATAACGTGTTATCAGTGACAGACCTCAAGCAATGCAGACTGATCTGATACAAAGAAATCAATTTCACCAGTAGTCCACGACACACTTTTGCAGAAAAAAAATGTGCATCAGATGTATGTGTGGTAACGACTGAAGAGCTGTAAGACCATCCAAAGAATTGAGGTACGCCCAGGCCAGAGGGAGTGAGAGTTTAGGCGGGCCCGTGGCCCCTGGTACCTCCAGTCCCAACCTCTGACCTGGGTCGGAACTTGGCATAGAAGAACAGGAAGAGCCAAGCACTGCCAAGCACTGACCGTGCCGAGAGATACGGATGCTTCCGCCGCCGCCACGACCGACGGGTGTCATAGCGGACTTGGAACCCCCGAGATAACCCCAGTGTGCCATGCGCAATCGCAAAAGATGAGTTGTGCACATGAAAAGAAGAGGTGGCGGATGAGCAGGAAGACCAGCAGGAGGAGGAGGAGGAGGAGGAGGAGGAGGAAGTGGAGGAAGGAGGAGGACGAGGAGGAACAGCAGCAGCGGGGGCAGGAGCGGGAGAAAGAGGAGGAGCGGGATAACCAGGGAAAAGCGGGGGAGGGGTAAGGAGCGGGGCGACAGCAATGAGGAAGCACCTGGATTCAGAAAAGTGACCCGGTTTGATGCAAAAGCGCCATTCTGAACGATGGGAGCAGAGTGCCGATCCTAAAATGAAGCCAACGTTGCAGCGGGAGAAGACCACGTTGAAACACCGGAAGGCCGGGGTAGAGAGGAGAGGGGAGGGAATGGAGACGGCGGAGGCGGAGGCGGAGGCGGAGAAGAACGACGACGAGGAGGAGGAGGCGGGCGGCGGGAGCTGGAGGAGGAGGTATGGTGCTCTCATGGGGCTCTAAGCTTGCACATCCCGGGCGAGCCGGCGCCGGCGCTTGTGCTGGACCAACATATTGATCGATATCGCCGTTTGCTGCATTTGCTCTGGGCTCGTATTTCAGGGAGGAAGGAGGAGGAGGTGGAGGAGGAGGAGGAGGAGGAGGAGGAGGAGGAGGAGGAGGAGGAGGAGGGGGAGGGAAGAGAGGGAGAGGAGCGAAGGGAGGGAGGAAGTGAGGAAGGGATGAAGGAGGGAGGGCGGGAGGGGGGAGGAGAGAGGGGGAGGAAGAAGAAGAGGAGAACGCGGAGCAGCAGCAGCAGAAGCAGCAGCAGCATCAAGCGCGAGGAGCAAGAGGAGGAGGGGCCAGGAGCGAGGAGGCGGAGAGAAGGGAAAGGAGGAGCGGCAGAAGCGCAGGAGGTAGGAGGTGAGAGGGGGGAGGAGGAGGAGAGGAGGAGGAGGAGGAGAAGGAGGAGGAGGAGGAGGAGCAGGAGGAGCAGGAGGAGCAGGAGGTGTGGTATGCTTCATTCTGGATTGCCCTGCCACCCCTGAGCCAGACCAAAGTCATACCTCGAGGACAGCCAGGCCAGATTCCCACTCGGCGGTGGGGGTTACTTTGAGGGCAAAGGGAGGGGAGGGGGCGGGGGGGCGGGAGCAGCGCAGGGCAAGGGGGAACGGCGAGGGGTCATGGGAGGGAGGAGGGGTCACGAGTGTGAAGCCGCCCCTCCTGCAGGTGCCCCCCACCCCCCCACCGCCTCCTTCGAAGAAGAGAAAGCGGCATAAACATTAAACCTTCGGAGGTCCGCGCGGATTTCTTGGATCTACGCTGGACCCCCCAGGCGACGCCTCCTGCGCCGCCCCTGGCGCGCTCCGCGCGCCAGGGAGGAGGGCCCAGCGCGGATCCAAGAAATCCGCGCGGACTGACGAAAGTTTATGCTTATGCCGTTTTTGTCCCTCTATTATTGGTAATCCCTCGCGCTGCAGATCCAGGGCAGGCCGAAACATCCTCAGTTGCCCCCCGCTCACCGAGATGCCTCCCCTCTTCGCTTCGGCGCGGCGTACCTCCAAGCACCTTTCCTGGGGAGCCCGCGGGTACCTCCAAGCACATTTCCTGGGCAGCCCGCAGGCACCGTTTCAGCCCAGCGCTTCCTCTACGGCCGCAAGTTAACTGGCCTATGTTGTACCTCGAGTAGGGGATCGACTACAGGATTGGTCCACCCCAAATTTGATCTGCGTCGTGGAATCTACGAACATACGTCGAGTGCCCCGTAGATATACGGAACATCTACTTATGTTTCGCAGATTTAGCGAAATTTCCAATCTTGGGATAAATAAATTGTGTGGTCAATCTCCGATTCGAGCTGTGTTGACCCTTTGCAAGCGTAGCAAGATATGAGCGCACGGCTGGCTGGGCACTTGTTTGGGATTGCGAGTGGGATCTGGAGCATGCCTCCCGGGGCCGATTTTTGCTTGGGCGCAGCCGTGATCGTGTGTGGCTGAGAAAGACGCCCCCAAGTTCCCCATTCTTCACAAGCCCTTCTTGGGCTTGCCACTCGATTTCTGAGCGATTGCGCTTTCGTGTATCTGCTGCTTCTGCTGTTCCCCTCTGGGATGCCGCTGTGCGCTGTTGCTTTCTACGAGTGGCCGCTCGGGCCGCAGGGGATTTCCGCACTGCACCCTGGCCCCTCCTCCTCCTCCTCCTCCTCCTCCTCCTCCTCCTCCTCCTCCTCCTCCTCCTCCTCCTCCTCCTCTTCCTCCTTGCTTCCCCTCCTCCTCCCTGGGCCTAGCACTTTCCTGGGCACTTCCGTGACGACGCCACCTGGCCGCGGCAGCTAAAGGTCCATCGACTTCCGGCAGCCGACTCATTCGGGCGATCTGTCATGGGGGAGTGTTTGCCTTGAATCGGGGGCGGCAAAGAGGGGGGTGACGACTAGGGGGGGTGGATATCATGGCGGGGGCCATGATATCTCCCCAGACTTCATGGCGCCTCTTCTTATTTCATTACGACCCTGGCCCCCCCGCTGGACCGCGTACATGCCGCCGGTCATGATTTGCACCCCCCCTCTTGGACACCCCCCTCTTGGCCGCTCCCGATTGAACACACACGTCTTGCCAGGGGTCGCGGGGGAAACATCTAGCTTGAATCGGCGATGCATCGCCGATCGAGCGGCGATAGGCAGCCGATGGCGAGTCCGAACGTGCCTGGGCCGGGTTGGCCATCGGGCCCCTGTCGGCGACGACTGGGCGAGGGGGGGGGGGCGATGCATCCCCTCCTGAGCCGACCTCCCCCCCACCTCCCAACGTTGCCCCTGATCTCTTGGGCCTCCGCGTCCTCTCACATAGTTCAGTGCATAGCGATGCGCATCACGTGCGGGCATGCAGGTCGTGTACTATGTTGGGAGCCTCTCGGCTGAAAAGTTGGGTCAGGCCGTGCGAGCCCACCCGCATCCTTTCTATTCGGCGTGGATATTCGAGTCGTGTCAGCAGAGGCTTTAGGCCAAGGCCAAGGCCGAGGTGTTGTTCTGATTACAACCAGACCGAGGTATGAGATCGAGGTCGGTTTGGGGAGGGTACCCTGATGTTTTTCGTGTTTGTCGGCTGTTACTGTGCATCCTGGGGGAGGGCACTCTCGAATGCTCTTCCTCTTTTGACCGGCGGAGGGTCTTGTAGGATGTTTTTCTGTCCTAGGTCCGATTGTACGCAGGGTCCCGAATTCCCGTATTCTGCCCGATGGCCAGCGTTGCCTCGACCGGGCGCCTTCGCGTGTCGCCCGGCCGCGCCAGGCCCGTCATCAACGGCAGGCTGCTGCCCCGCAGCGCCGCGTGGATGACGCAGCAGGGCTGCGCCTGCACGCGCGAGGCTCAGAAGGCGCCCGCAAGTCTGCCCGTGCCCCACCGAAGAGCGAGGGCCTCCTATCGAGGTTCGAGGTTCGAGGTTCGAGGAGGGCAAGGAGGGCGAGGAGGGCGACGATCGAGGATGGAAGAGGGCGAAGAAGCCGAGGATCGAGGATCGAAGAGCGCGAGCACTGAGGACCGAAGCCCCGAGGGCAGCGTCGGGGGAAGGACCGAGCTGAGGACCGAGGCCCGAGGAAGGGATCGGGGGGGGCGGAGTTTCGGGTTCGAGGCTTGAGGTGCTCGAAATTGTTCGTCGGTTCTCGGCGGGCTTCCAGCCTCGGGATGCGTTCCGGCAGCTGCGCCTCGCCGAGGGGCATCCCGGGGGTGCCCAGATCGCCCCAGACGGCCGCCGGAGACCCGAGTTTATGACCCGAAAGCCATACGACGAGGGACGTTTGCTTAGCTTATCGCGCCGCCGGTTCTGGCGCTTCACGCTTCTGTCGGGCCGGGCGAAAGGGGGGGATTGGGAAAGGGGGGGTTACGAAATTTGCTGCATGCAGCTGGTTTCGGCCTCACCGAGGGGCCCATTCCTCGATACATAGCCGCCTCCCGCGCCGGGAGGCGCCGGGAAAATCAGCTACGTGAGCTGATTCTCAAACCCCCCCTTTGCTATCCCCCCCTTTCGCCCGACCCGATTCTGGCCCACCGAGCCATTCCCAGCCTCCCGCGGAGCGGAGCGACACGTTATCGGCTCGCAGGGCATAGCGTGTCGCCAGGGCCGCAGCCCCAACACGCTCAGCAAAGGCTAGTGACCGTAAGTCACTGTGCACGCTCTTCGCAAATGCGCAATTCAGAGCGAGGGGGTTGAGCGGTCGTACACTGTGCTTGGGTGCGTGGCTGAAGTGGGCTTGCGCGGTGAGCATTTCCTCCCCATGACCTGACACGGGGTTCAGACAATCGAAAACACCTACGGCGAATCACCGCCGCCCCCTGCCTTCCGGAAGCGCCCATGTGGCCGAACGGTGCGGCCAGAGTTCGGCCAAGATATCGGACCAGTTGTTCCCCCAGCCGTTGTGGAAAACCCTCCGAGAAACAAGTGGAGGAGAAAGCAGAAGACGAGGAGAGGGAGGAAAAGGGATGAGGAGTAGGCGGAAGTCTCGTGGGATCATGGAGATTTGGGAAGCTCTCGGGCGATCTCGATCTAGGGTCCGGGATCCGATCCGTCGGCTCTCATGCCCCCCCGCCCTCTGTTTCTCCTCTCCCTGATTGTTACCCTCGTGTTCCTTCCCCTCCTCTTCCTACTCCTCGGATACCCGAGATGGCCAAGAGACCCAAGGGTGACCCAGAAGAGGAGGAGGAGGACGACGACGACGACGGCGGCGACGGCTCTGGCGACGGCGACGACGGCGGCGATGAGGAGAAGGAGATGGAAGAGATGGAGAGGAGGAAAGAAGGCGGAGGAGGCGGAGGATGAAGGAGAAGGAGGGAGGGAGGAGGGAGGGAGGGAGCAGGGAGGAGGAGGAGGAGGAGGAGAAGGAGGACGACGACGACGACGTCGACGACGATGACGGCGGCAACGAAGCGGAGAAGGGGGGACGACGCAGAGGATGCACAGCGAATGCAACACAGGAAAATCATGCCCGCCCAGCCCCGATTAGGGGAGTGTCTCGATGAAGGCGTGCATATGCAGTGCAAGGAGAGCTATGGTAGCATATATTGCAGAGCGTCGCCTCGCAAGGCAACGCACAGCACTGGGCCAAAGCCCGGCTGGAGGGAACAACCTTACAGAGGCAAGCACCCGCTGGATCAGAACTTGGAGGGCAGGTCGAAGTAAAACGGAGCCCCCCCGACGGGACACCGGTCTCGGCTTCGGTCCGTGCCGCGCGTGCGTGCGAGGCGCAGCTGCGCGCATTCCTGCACCTGCGAGGCCTAGGTCGGGCCAAACCGAGTCGGGCCCCCGCCCGCCGGGGCGTGCCCGGGGTTGTCCCGATGGTTGTCCCCGTGGTTGTCCCGATGGGCATCTCGTGATTGTCCCGTGCTCGTCCCGTGCTCGTCTCGCGGTTGCCTTGAGGTTGTCCCGGCGTTGTGCCGCGGTTGTCCCGTTGTTGTCCCGTGGTTGTTGTGTCGTCGTCCCGTGATTGGTCTGTGCGTGTGCCTTGGCTGTCCCGTGAGTGAGCTTGCTGGCCGGTTCGTCGCCCCCTTCCTCCTCCTCCCGTGTCCCCTGCTTGTGATTTGTTTTACATATTCGTCGGCGCCGAGGCGCAACCGCCCCGCCCCTCGTAGGATCGTCCTTCGTGACGTGGGGGCGCAGTGTTCAGTGTTCTGTCGCGTGCTTATCCCGCGCTGTTCACGTCTATGGTTAGTAACGAGACCGATAGATTGATAGTGATATGTCGGAGGTTGGAGCCTGAGATCGGAGTGGAACGGAGAGCCCCCCACCGAGAAATCGGTTTCGGTTTCGTGTTCGTGTCGTGCGTGTGGACGAGGCGAAGCTGCGTGGGCGCGCGAAAGGAATGACCCCGCCGTCGCTAGGGCGATTCGGATGCAGTGGACCGCCCCTCCGCCCCCAGTGGGCGCGCGGTGGCCCGGGATGTCCCGCCGTGGTGTCCTGTGGTGTTCCGTTGGTGTCCTGTCAGTATTCCGTCGGCGGTGGGCGGGCGATGGCCAGAGGTGTTCCGCCTTGGTATCAATAGTGAAGTCGATAGTGAGATTGGCAATGAGGTCACAAGAATGTGATGGATAGTGAGATCAGAAGTGAGACCGACAGTGAGGTCGATTGTGACATTGTCTGTGAAACCGATAATGAGATCGACAACGGAATCGATAGTGAGATCGATAGTTAGATCGAAGGCGAGATCTATTGTGCGATCCATAACAAGATCGAAAGTGAGATCTATATTGAGATCGATCGAGTGTGGTCGATCTTGTGAGGTGGATAGTGGGATCGTTCGAGTGAGATCGAAAGCGGGGACGATAGTGACATGACATTACAGGGGAACATCGTTATCACGCGTCCTTGATAACTCGAGGGCGCGTCACCAGCATCGTCATCATCTCACCCATCGCATTTGCCAGCAGTTGGTTCTTTCCCACCCCGCACCCCCCCCAACCTCCCCATCATCCGAAGGGCGGTCGTATAGGTGTGTAGCTATGTGTATATATATATATATATATACATATATATATATATATATATATATATATATATATATATATATATCCATCGGTATATGAAAGAGAGATCGTCTAAGTGATGGTTAGACCGACAGAGAGCTAGATCGATGTCCCGTGGTTCTCCTGTGGTTGTCCCGAGCCTGTTCCATGGTTGTCCTGGGGTGGTCACGCGGTCGTCCCGTGGTTGTTCCAGGGTTGTCCCATGGCGGTCCTGTGACGGTGCCGTGATTGTCCCGTGGTAATCCCATGGTTGTTGTTTGGTTGTGTCGTCGTTGTTCCGTGGTTGCCCCATCCACAATTTGGGAGGCCTTTCGGAAGCCTTTTGGATTCGGTTTTGGGGTGCCTTGGGTGCCTCTCGGAGGCCTCTTGGGTGCCGCTTGGGGCCTCACTCGGGCCTCTTGGGGGCCTCCTGGAACTTGTGGGGGGCCTTTGGGGGTCCTGTTGGCGGTCTCGGGGGCCATCTTGGGGCGAAGGGCTCGAAATGTCGGTTCGTGTTCCCCCTCTGGGGCCTCTGTTGGGCCCCTCTTGAAGCTTTATCGGGCCGTCTTGGGGCCATCTTGGGCGGTCTGGAGGCGCTCTGGGAGGCCTCTTGGGCCTTCGGAGCTTTGGGGCCTTCTGGGCCGTCTTGCAGAAACGGAAGCCAGACAAGGCGAGAGCACTAAAATCCTTCAAACATCATTGGAAAATAAATGATTCGGGCATCTCGGGGCCCTCGTGGGGGGCTTCGTGGAGCCCTCTTCGGGCGTCTTGGGGGCCTCTTGGATTGTCTTGGGACCATCTTGGGAGTCCTGGAGCGCTGCCGGGCTGTCTTGGATGTCTCTTGGGCCAGCTTGGGCATTTCTTGGGGCCCCCGTGGCCCGTCATAGGGGCCCTCGGGACTCTGGAAAAGTCATGCATGGAAGCCTGAGAGCGCGCGGGAGCGCCCGGATAATTTGGGATTTTAAGCACCATGCCCCGAATTAGATAAGTACAAGGCTGAAAATAGAGCACAGAGAATTCTCAAAGCTTGCGGAACACTCCGTCTCCTGCCTCGAGGCGCGGTGGCGCATGCATGTAGCGAGAGTGAGGCCGACAGATAGATAGTAAGACCGATATGGACGATAAGATTGGTCGGTGCACAGTGAGATTGGCAAATGGTAATATCGACAAGTTGGTTGATAGAGAGGTCGATTGGTCGATAATGAGACCGAAAGACAGTTAGGTCGATGTCTTGCGGTTGCCCCTTGGTTGTCCCTCGGTTGTCTTTTGGTTGACCCGCCGTTGTGCCGCGGTTGTCCCGTGGTTGTCGCGTGGTTGTCGCATGTCTGTCCCGTGGACATGTCGCATTTGCCCGAGATTGTCCCGTAATTGCCCCGTGTGGTATAAATCTATCGAAGACGCCTACGGCGAATCACCGCCGCCCCCTGCCTTTTTGGAAGCGCCTATGTGGCCGAACGTTGAGGCCAGACCTGCCAAGCCATCGGACCATGTGTTCCCCGAATCGGTTTGGAAAGCCTTGGGGGAACACGTGGGCATCTTGAAGGTCATCTTCCTCCTTCGTGGAGGCCCTCTTGGGGGCCCATTGGGCCGTCTTGGGCCAGCTTCGAGCCAACTTCGGCCATCTTGGTGGGTTCCTGGCACGTCTGACGCCGTCGGGAGCCGTCTTGGGGGCTTTTCTGGGCCAACGGGGGACCCTCTCGGGGCGCTTCGGGGCCGTCTTGGAGGTCATCTTGGGCGTCTTGGAGGCCATCTTGGGCGTGTTGGAGGCCTCTTGGGCCGTCTTGGGGCCCTGTTGGGGCCAACTTGGAGGCCCTTGGGCCGTTGGGGCCCTCTTGGGGGCCTCTTGGGCGATCTTGGGGGCCTCT